GTGAACAAAACGCATTACAAAACATAAGGTGGACAGTGGTTTTCTTATTGAGTGCACATACCGATAGCCGGAATACTCAGTCCGCAACTGCATGAAGTATGAGGTCTGGTGTGAAAGTACATGGTATGAAGAGTGCCGTATACAACTTGTCACGGATCGATTTGAATGGCTATCTAATGGTTGTACCTACAACTACACATAAAACACGTTGGTTCTCCAATTCATGGGTGTGTTTGATCCGCTCCTGAACAGTTTTATCAGGTAAGATAAGCACTATTGTTTGTCAGTTGTGGTTAACTTTCGAACGGCGAATTAGTGAGTTGAGGTTCGAACTACGAACCAAAAATTATGCTAGTGCTTCCAAATGCTCAACCTTCCAACCTAACATGGTATGGTGGCGGTTTGTGCGAGAACTCACCTAATCTAACAGACGCTACACGTGCAAACTTATGGCCGATCATTGTCTGTACGGCTCGTTTTACTAAGTGTATGTTGAATATTGATTGCACCAAGCTATGAAATTTCCGTTGATCTGAGATACAAAGGAAGACTGTTGGAAATTGAAAGCCCAACGAGTTCACTGACACTAAAAAGTTCCGTGGATCTGGAGAACTCCGCACTGAAGGGGAGAGATTCAATGCAGGAGAGCCACTACGTAAGTGAACTATACACTAGTGTCACCAACTATTGACATGTCTGGTTCCGAGTTGTCCACTGAAGAAGAGGACAGCTAGTGATCAGGACATGTAAATTACGTTTCGGAGCCATATACTGATCGCGTCTTTTCAAATCATTGTATGACTGTGCAAAAATAGCTCTACGAGGCAGGCGGTCGTCCGACACGCGGAATACGTGTCTCGACGTGCGTAATTTATGAAGTGTGACCAAATTGCCTATTGTCTTTCCACAAAGCCACCCGACACCCCACCTCTGCGGTTCGGATATTCCCACCAGACCTGGCGAGTGTTTTTCTAGTAAAACCTGAAATTTTTCAGGCATCCGCTCCTATAGACCTCATTTCTGATCCAAAAAAGCAAGACAAGATATATGTGCTGAGTTTATTGAAACCTGCCCCGATTACGGAAGCAACTTCAAATTTCGCTGGGGAGTAGTGAGATGAGAGTCATCTGCATGTACGAGATTCTTGTTTATTACTGCCAGTCAGCAAGTACACGAAGGTTCGTTCCAAGCCGTTAGCCGACCAACGCGATGGCTAGATATAACCATATATATATATATACATATATATATATATATATAATGTACATTATTCCAGTCTTTGTTACTTACTGAATTATCGTGGAGGTTTCCACCTGTTTCAAGGACGAAAGCCAGCTTAAGATGTATTAACCAAACTGACAGAGGAACAGCTACTTGTCTAGTGGAAATTTTCTAAACTTTTACTTCAAACCAACAGTGGGCTGAGTATTAAAACAACCTTGGGTAGTAACTCTGGAAGCACACGGAGGCAGAGATGCGGTTTACTGGCGAACATTTGATTAAGGGTGAAATAATCACCTTATTCCTCTGGCCTCCATCCATCGGAAGCGTAGAATGAATCCACCGCTGGGTTCCAACGGATCGAGGACCCCGTACGCCTTCCCGTCCTATGGATCAGCAGTGGTAGGTGGGAACTCTTCGGTCCTGGTGGCGGGGGAGTTCTAGGCCCTTTCGTAGACGTTTGACCTCCAGAACTTCGAAAGTATGTGTCACGCGTTCAAAGCCATGTTTCAGGCCTGCTAACACCCATAAAGAAAAGCCAGTACATCCTGCCGACAGCTCCCATACCATTCGGCCCGTTTACGCATTGCTGACCCGCCAATGCAGCCATATACTGGCTTCGCACAATGCCGCACAGAACAAGCCGTAAATACCTCTCAGGTTTAAGGAAGGCCTAAAGTATCTGCATAAACCCGCCCGTGGGATCCAAGCATGATTGCAGTCGAAAAAGTCTTCCACCACCAATCTGATGGTTTCATACATACAAGGTTGACGACAAACGACGAACCTGCGCAAGGCGTATGGAGTAAGCGTTTTGACAGCACATAGTTTGCACCAGTTATTTCCGACGCCCGACACATGAGTAATCACTGCAATCAGTCGGTTACACAACGACACATTTTCCAATATAGATTGTAAAGCCACTGATCAACTTACTCAGCCATCACGATCCACTAGTAAGAAGAGCCATTAAGGAGGTAGATCACTACCGAGAGCTTGGTGAAGTTACACGTGTTTTTCGAAAGGTCTGTGACGTAGATCCATGCGTCGAGTTTTACATGTTTCCTCTTGAATATCCCCATAACCTATTTCGGGCCCAGCAGATAGGTCGGGGGGAGACTAGGTCTTAGATTGTACTTTCAGTGTTTTATTCACTTCTCAAGTTAGTGAATTTTCTGGTCAGCTTCACTGAAGGTGATAGTATGGAATTAACGGTTCAAGCTTGATTCGCCCCATTGACGGCTTCCAGGAATAGAAATGCATGCCAGGACCTAGAAAACTAAGTGAATGTGACTCATAGCACAAAAATTCTCACAACTTCCCAACACTGCACAGTTTAATGAACGAATTGCAAGCGAAATACAGATAACCAAGTAGAAATTTTCATATCAGAAAGAAGGTGAACATCACGGAGGTGAACCATATTCCACAAGAGTTAGTGGCCTGTGTAAGCTGAGCGGTTCTTATTCAGAAGGATAGGACGACGAGTTTAACCTATACAGAAGTCAAGTTGTTTCAGGCCATCCAAATACAGAGCACTGCGTGAAACAGCCGATGAGGTCAATCACTACTCAAAGACAATAATCAGTAGTCTGAAGCCCGTGACCGAACACAAACTAACAAATAACACAGAGTAGGGTCAACAGTGGAAAAATAGCATATCCTGTTTCTGCGTTCAAGTGACAGATCCGGTCAAAGGTGTTTGGACCGCTGGAAGGCCGTGGCTATTTGGTGAACCACAACTGAAGCCAAATATAGTCCCATACCTAAAACCATGAAGCTAATATATGCTTGACGAAAGAAAATCAACACAAGCAAGTACGCACGGATTTGTCGCTAGCCTTTGGTGGGGCCAAACACGGTGGGACATTAATGAACGTTAGCACAAAATACTTGTTTAACATTCAACTATCAACTGCCAATCTCTTCAAGTTCCCGCAGCTACAAAACTGCTTAAAACGAGTTATATCCCTAGAGACTAATGACATCAATCGTTCACCAATGCTTATTTTAGAGTCACGATCTGCATCTAATGGACCGGAGAGGATCAATTCTACCTGTCTCGCCCACATTCACACAGAGATGAAGAGCTTTCCTCCATTCCTCGTGCGGTTATTCTGGTTAGTCCACATCATAAGCACTAAACTTGAGGCTTTCTTTCTGGGGCTTAGGGATAGTACATAAACCTGAACGTACCGGGATTTGAAACTCAGTAAACCGTTATGGTAATCGCCGATCGGCAAAACGAGGACTGCTAGAAAGTCGTTGTTGAAGGAACAGGGTTGCACAGGTTGTTTAGACGCTAGCCCGTCAAGACGACAATTCAAGTGCATCCAGCACGGGCCGACGGAGTAGTAGCAACAAACTGGCTTTATAAGACAGATGACTGCGGCCTGGCATAGTCAAGGATGTGAACCTTTGATAAGCTCTAATAACGGTGCTACTCAATTTCATCGCTGCCCTTTGGTTCATAATGGTCAAAATGTTCATTCCAGCACAGGAGTACGAGTGTTTGAATATCATGAACAGACACTACGCAAATCTCACAGCAATCCATAGGAGCTTTGTATACGGACCGGAGAGTTCATCGAAAATGTTTCTTACGTCAACATATCTGACGTTCGTTTTAATGGTTTGCGGCGTCCGTTCGGCAAATCCACAACTGAGAAGAAAATAAGGCAGCCCAATCTGCAGTACCCACAAAATGTACCCTCTTCGACAGGGCATTTTCGAACTCGAAATCTTACGACAGACCATGATAGACTTAGGTTCTTGGTAGTTGTATAAAACGCAGCGTGAGCCAGATATTCATGTTATTAATTTATGAAGACCATTCGTATCCTTGATCGGTCAACTGGCGAACAGATGCGTTCATGCATGGCTAGGTGCCCCACGCAGTCAATATGCATTGATGAGCTGTAATACAATCTTTATCCTACAATTAGAGTCAGTCATCGCTGAAAAGACTGGAAGCATTGTTCAGGGGTTTCGTCATTTTCTCATCATCAACGGTGCGCATCTCACAGGTCTCTAAGGGAATTCGAAAGCGCGACCTATCGAGCTATAGACGACGTCTACGCTAGGACCTCGGACAGCTTAACTTTCACTTGTAATTAAAATGAAGTCGAATAATGGACTTGGTTCCCCTGAGTTGCTTAGAGAACTATTGTCTTTTCACTTCTTATCTCTAACTCGAAAAAAATACTTTTTAGAACAACTAAGTAGCTTGAAGAACGTCCGCCATTTGCAACAAATCAGGAGACAGCGGATCGGTACTGTAAGCCGGGATTGCGAAGAAAACACGAAAATATGTACGATTGGTTAAACGAGTAGGGTCAACTAAAGGCCAGCTTATATTTTCTCCCGTTCAATATGATTTAAATGGTGCACCAGACTTCCGAATATTTATGGTCGTTACCAGTCAGCTTCTGGAGTGGCGGCGACTCCATAGTTTGCGCAGAAGACTATTTTTGCACAACTGACTGACCATACGTCTTCAGCTGGGAGCAACCATCAATGCTGGATAGGGCTGTTGTAGCCGCCTACGACTAGCATAGTCTGTGGGAAGTGCGATTAGTTTCCAAAATGAAATTTTTGCGCTCAGAACCGTTCCACCCAGGATGCAAGGTTTGGGAAGTGTTAAAGACAGTACCATGGCTGGGTGCGCTTAACTGTGAGTGGTACAGTCAACCTTCAACGTTCGTTTTTAGTCAACATTTAGTATAAACAACGCAAACCCTGAGAAATCTAACCCGAGAAAAAAAGAAAACAAAATGAACTAGCCGTCTCACGAAGTAGTCTTCTATCTGAAACGTATTGAACTATACATTGGCACTGGAGAAAATGGGTAGAGAAGGATGAATCAGCTTTAGACCTGGACAGAAAGTGGGTCTGGAGGATCTGTCTTCGGTTCTGTGTCGCTGGATGGTGCCTCCTGATTGGGATTCTCATAAGGTTTACTTCCACGAACGATTCTACCAGCGTGATCAACCATGAAGTTGTAATCCACAATGTCCGAATTGAAAATCTCCTCAAGTTTGGCGTCAATATTGTCACGTGTGATAATGTTGGGCTCCGCAGCCTGCAAATGCGACAAAATTTAAGGGGTGGATTGAGCTACTGTGAAATTAACAGTAGTGAGAAATCATTCTGTGCGGGATCCGACGGGAATTCAACGTGGAGGGGGGAGAGTTGCAAGCCTAAGAACTGTTGCACACAACTGTGGTTTAATTCATTTTAGCCCGGCACATTGGAATGTCTGACAAATCTTGATGCAGAAGCGCGATATCCTGAATGCATCATTGGGTTGTACCGATTATTTTCGCATGAACTAAATCGGTACTCAGCTGGCGGTCCCAACCCCCCGGGGCGCACCAAAGGATATGTTGGAGGGAAACGCAGGGCGATCCTAAGGGCCATACAGTGCCGGATTCGTTTTCGACCCTCTATCACTGTGTTTCCCAGTGACTTCTATTTTCTTGTTGGGCCTGCAACAAGGCAGTTTCCGTTTTGCGAATTAGCCTTTCAGCATTCGGGCATGGATTTTGGATGCTGTGACTTGCAAGTGGTTATGATTACCCAGCTTTAAGAGTGTGCTTCCCTGAGCACCTATTCACAAGCTAATTGCTGCCGCTGCATATCACATGAACGGCTAGTTTTGCTACACAAATTCAATAACTTGTGCCGATGCCTTGGCGTCAGCGAATTCACCAAGTGTTTGTTGTCAGCCTAACCAGATTTTGCATTCTGAGGCCGAGAACTGGATCCAGACGTTACTCGATGGGGTTGCAGATGAGTACCATCGACAAGTGGTGACAAAAGAGAAAGTCTATTGCCTGGGACCGGGGTAGCGAATTATTCCGATATACAGGAAATCTGATATGCGAAAATATATGTGACTGGAAGCCAGTGGTGGTGAAGATATCAAAAAGGTCAAAGACTATTGAACAAAAGGGATGATTCGCACTCGATCGAATGTTGGCTCTGACTACGACTATTTTTCATTATTGTTCAGCAAAGTGTTATCTGTGAAATCCGCGTCAAGCATATGTCTCGGGACTCGTTTGTATATTGATATACGGGATCCACGCAAAAACCTGCCTAACTCGCCAGGTAACTAGAATATGGGCCCCCTGCTTCTCGCATTTCAATGTCGAATTCCTCTCATCGCAACCATCGTACGCACAACCTGCCTCCAAAATTATGGGAGAAAATATTTCCCTAGGCTTGGAGATGTGATCTAGTGGAGTGACTTGATTGCATTGCCTGAGTGGGGCATGAGACTAATGAACATCGCAATACTAAAGCTCGCCGACAAAATGGCCTAATATGAATAGTTATTTTAAGTTGCACTAGGCGATAGATGAAGAATCCACAGCGTTGAGAACGACCACGGTCCCCCTCTACGGACAAACGAACTACCGTTTTGAAGCTGAGAAGGTAACATTCCATCGAGATTTATCCGGGCTTATCCGTACAGCAAGGAGCACTGACACTGGTCCCTGCGGGCGATATAAATGCAGAAGTCGGTCGTCTGAGCTTCATGAAAGTACATTTTGGCACTCGATTCGAAGGCGACGCTGATCACACAGACAGAGAGCACACGGAGAGCAACTCCTCCAGTTGTGTGGTGATCACCAACTGTTTCTGGCCGATACGAACTTTCAACTTAGAAGTCCACATCGTGTAACCTGGCGGCCAACAAGTGCAAACCAACCGTAGATCCAACTCGATTACGTGGCTATCAGCTACCGGTGGAGAGCCACGGTTCAAGTGCCGTGCCATCTGGAAAACACAACTTGATCACGCAATGGCGTGAGTACGTTTGACAGTCCACTTTTCATCCAGGCTCTCGCAGCTCATCAAGACGCATCGCAATCCACCACCTTTGGAGAACTACCATGGCTCAACAGTAACGATCTGAGCTAGCTCAACTACTGTCTACAGTAAGCCGATAGTGTGGTGGTATCGAGCAGGTGGATGAAAGGGTGAAATTTGAAAGGAGCTATGCTAGCGACATTCAAAACTGTCTGTCAGGGATCTCGGATACGACCGAACGATTAGTGGATATCGTCAGATTGATGCCCGGAAATTCATACCAGTATGCGACTTCAATCACCCGTCAGAAGAAATAAAATGTGAAATAGACCCGCTGAAAGGCATCGGATTTAGATGGTCTGTACCCAGCCCTCTGCAAAAAAGGGGGAGAACTCCTGGTTATGCATTTGACAAGCCCGATTAGTGCTATGCGAGATGGAAAAGTTCTTCCGGAATGGGGCACACCGACAATCATCCCTAGCTTCAAAAACAGCGCCGGAACACTGTGAAAACCACCATGAAAAACAAATTGGGTGTCATTCTTTCGGACGGTGCGTTGATCACATTTTCGCCCTCCGACAGATTCTGAAACAGCCACAATGCTTCCGGCAAGCAGAAATGGCAGTCTTCCTTGACTTGAGAGCTACCTTCGACTCCGTGGACCGTCAGGAAGTGTGGCAGTCTAGTACGGAATAAAAATGCCTTCCACAAATCCTAGACCCCCTTAAGGTATTGTAAGCCAACCCCCGCGGAAATCTGAAGGTCTAAGGGCAGCTCTCATCTGAATTCACTACACAAGGTGGTGCCCTTCCTCTGCAACCTCGCCACCGATAGCATTATGTTTTGCTCACCCCCAGTCCTAACGCCTGTGTGGCCGAAATGCTCCCCGGACTTTAGCTCACCGAGAGGAAGTACGTGAATGATGTAAATCTCCTTGGATCTGACCCTGTCGTGAAGCAGACGACATTACGTAATCTAATCAATTTTGTTTTACGGTTTGACATGAGCTACACATGCATAAAGTGTACAACGCTGCTATAAGATTGCGTGGGCTCGAACCCTAGGCTCTTGCTTGCGAATGAGTCGACTGAAGTAGTAGACAAACTTGTCTACCTAGACAGCTTCATCAGTCCCATTAATCTAACCATTTTGATCTTATTTTCTCAATGGTTCACCTGTCTTTTTAGACACTCTGTATATTGGAACCCGCCAGCCAGTCAGGCAGGTGGTCGGTGGTTTCCGATTCTGGATGGCCGACCGGCGGATTGTAACTCACCTTATCGTGACCATTATTGACTATTTCAAAGTGCCACGCTGAATCAAGTTCCTTCCTTGGACCAATTTTGTCCTCTAACATTTGCTCTAACCTTGTACTTGTGTGCGTTTTGCCCACTTATCCATTGATATTTATCTTTCTGTGTTAATCGGCAGTACTGTTCACTCGTACCAGACTGGAGTATTGTCATGCTACAGCTGTTAACGTCACCACCTCCCAAGCGAACATTGGAAGCACTGGAATCACTAGCCAATTTCAGCACTGGTATCGCTCACTAAACTGCTCGACTGTGGGTTCGGGTACTCAGACTGCCTATCACAGTCTGCGACGGTAGCTGCTTTTCCTTTTCGTAAAATAACTTTCACAGTCCAGTTGGTGATGATGGGGTAGGGTGGGCTGGTGAACCCCATCAGATAGCTTGAACGTTTCTCTCCTCAGTCGTCACCAGAATACTATAGTTATTAGCTCAGAACAAGCAATTGGTCAAATATAGCAAGGTTATTTAGCCTGCTAATGTGAAATACCTTGCAATCAATTTGACAGCTAAGTTAGGACGACGAATGATGTGAGATCAGAAGTGCTTATGTGGGTCACACGAAATATCTACAAGTTATTC